GCTTCGCAACGTCAGTTTTCAAAGAAGCACGCGCTCGGGGTCTAGCGAATTCTTGCGAACACCATCGGTGTTTCAGCCTTTTCATGGGGTTGTGTCAAACTGGACTCTGGCGCCGCACGCCGACATCATTCGGGCGCCATGCGCGCGTGCTTGGGGGGGGGGGGGGCGCGATCCGCGTCGAAATGGCGCCGCGCGGGCCGCTCCCGCGCGTCCGCCGCGCGCGCGTCGTTTTCGGCAGCATTGCCACCGTCGTCGCCAATGCCATCGTCGCGTCTACAGCTGGCGGCGTTGCCGTGATGCCGCGCCCGCCCAAGTCGCCGACTCGCGCTGAAACGCCCGCTGGGGCGCGCGCGGCCAGCGCCACCGCGGCCGCGTCGGTCGCGCCAAACTACCTGGCCTCTGCGCGTGCTCGGGTCGGCGCGGCTGCGGAGATGCACTGGCCAACGCCGCGCACTCGTCGCAATCGCCGCCGCGTGAGTTTTGCACGGCAAGTTGCGAGTGAGCGGGCTGGATGTTTGCAAGTGCGTGGGATGCATCAGCTCGTTTGTTAAAATCATTTGCCCCGCATCGATTGCACCGCATGGATTGCGCCACCTGGAGCGCGCCGCGTAGGTTCTCCATTTTCAAAGGAAATGGAGTTTACTCCTTTAGGGTTATCCGTTCACCTGTTCGCATCGCAATTTCGAGGCGAGTCTGCCTCGTCGTCCATCTTAAATATGAACTCGTACCATCACATCCAGGCCAGCATCGACGCCCCCCGCCATCCCCCGCCGAAGAATATTATGCGCGCGCACTCGTACATAAAAAACATTCGTTGTCAAGAATCCCTTGCAACAAATGAGACGACGTGCGCGCGCGCGTCGTCGCTCGCTTGTCGAAACCTTTCAAAAACCGTAGGTTTCATAAGGATGCCAAACCAGAGTGCCCAAACAACCTAAAATCACATGCTTTCGCAACAGATGTTCAAGAACAGCTTGCGCGCGCCGTCTTGCGAATCCCTTAAGAAAACCAGAGGTTTTTCATGATTTCGATGGAATGCTACCAAACGGGAGTCGCGCGCGCTCATGTCGAAATCTTTCGAAAACCCTTGCGCGGGTGCTATCGCGAGAATCCTTTTCCAAACAGTGAAACAGAGGGGGGCGCGCGTGCGTCGTCACGCGCGCATGCCGGTTTTCGTATATAGGTAATACTACAAATCTTAAAACAAATCACACCTTTTTCGATTCGCAGCGATATCAAAACCGCATGTCCCGACACCACTATATATAAAAAGGTTCCGCAACATCAGCTTCACAAAAAGTTTGCCCTCGCGATCTTGCGATTTCTTACGCAAGCCGCTTTGATGTTTTAAGCTTTGCATGGTATTCTGCAGTGTGGACCTCACGCGCCGGATTGCGAAATCATTCGAACGCCCTTGCGCGCGTCTTGGGGGGGCACGATCCGTGCCAAACTGACACCATGCGGCCACTCTCGCGTCCAAAACCTTCATCACCAACGCGAGGACGCCGTTATCGTCGTCGGCGTGATCAGCATCGGCACCGTCACCGGCCGCGCCGTCGTCGTTGCCAACATCGTCATCACCATCGCTACGTTTACCATCGTGTCTACCGTCGTCGACGTTGCCATGATACTGTGCTTGCCCAAGTCGCCGACTCGCATTGAAGAGCCCGCTGGGATGTGTCCAGCGATCAGCGCCATCGCGGCCGCGTCGGTCGCGCCAAACTAGCTGGCCGCTGCGCGCGCGTGCATGTGCGGGTTGGCGTGGCCGCGGAGATGCACCAGGGAGCGTCAACCAGTCATCGCAATCGCCGCCGCATGGGCTTTGCAAAGCAACTTGCGGGTGGGTGAGTGGGATGATTTCGAGTTTCACAAGTGATTTGCGCCACATCTATCGGGCCACGTAGGTTGCACAGCATGTATTGCTCAGCGTATGTTGCACAGCAGATGTTGCACCACGTAGCGTACTCCACTTAGATTGCAAACCTCAATGTTTACAAACACACCGTTTGAGGTACACCTGGCTAAAATCGAATATCGAAATGTATCATCGTATGGTCCACAATGTAGTGCGCCCGACGTGTAGGCGTCTTTACAAACCAAACCACGAGCAGCGAGTTAACTTTTTGCTGTACAAGCCAAAAGAATGATTGGAGGTGGGCGCGGCGGATTATCAAGGTTTCAGGACGTTCTGGAGTCATCCGGAAGGGTTGGCAGGACGAAGCCTGTGAGGGTGGGATCTTTGTTCCCGGCGCTGTGAGTTCCCAGGGCTCCGTTTTGTGTTGTTCCAGTTTTTTTTGATTTCGGCATCCGATGGCCGTTTTCGGGTTCTGGGATTGTCGAAATTCAAATGCGATGAAACGTTGCCCCCATGGAAAACGTCGGAAGCTTTGGGGCTGAGGATCGGAACAAAAGCGTGACGTCGGAGGTCCGATTCTCATTCTTACCATTATTGCCTATATCGTTTCTGTTCGTGGCGAGCGTGTGTATGCGAGAGAGAGAGAGAGGGACAAAGATATCTTGAGTTGAGTTGGGAGTTTTCTCAACGTCGACGTGACAGAGCACCCATATTCCCCGGAAGCGCGGATACGAATGATCGGGGTGTGTTCTGGGCTCGATTCCGCCACGCCACAGCCAGAGCTCACCACAGGCGCCGGCACCTGTTATTGGAAAGGCCTTACGGCTGGTGCCGCCGACCCTGAACGACGACGACGACGCCGACGACGCCGACGACGACGTCGCCGCCGACGACGACGACCAGGAGGTGTACTCATTCTAGGCCTCCTAGATGGGGTCGGAGTAGATGGGGTCGGAGGATCGCGCCGCATCGCCGATGCTTCTCCGATGCGGAGCCCGACTCTCTCCGCGCTGGCGTCGCCGGTGCACCGCGCTGGCGTCGCCGATGCATCGCTGATGCATCGCCGATGCATTGGCGATGCCCCGCGATCCTTCGACCCCATCTACTCGGACCCCATCTAGGAGGCCTCTACTCCTGGGCTCGATTCTGCCACGTCAAAGTCAGAGCTCCCCACCAGCGCCGAGACCCCTTACTCTGCAGCACGCGCCTGCGCGGCTCCAAGATATCGGCGCGCCCCTTCGGGCCCCCCCCAGGCGACCACGAGCCCTGGGCAGTGGGCCCCCCTCCTCTTCCTCCTCCTTTTCCTCCTCCTTTTCCTCCTCCTCCTCCTCCTCCTCCTCGCCGTCCTCCCCCTTCTTGTCCTCCTCATCCTGCTCCCCTTCCCCCTCCTCCTCCTCCTCCTCCTCCTCCTCCTCCTCCTCCTCCTCCTCCTCCTCCTCCTTTTCCCCCTCCTCCTCCTCCTCCTCCTCCTCCTCCTCCTCCTCCTCCATTCCTTTTCCTTATAAGTAATTTCTGCCTGTCGCACCCCAAGACGAGTTTTTAGGGCGGGTCAGGCGTTTCGCCTGAGACTTCCTCATCATTTCGTGATTTTCAAGCTACACCATGAGCAACAGTTTCACAGATGGAGTGCGGGTCGTTTTCAAAATGTGGCTCTCGCCTCAGCGCGCGCGCGCGCGTTCATTGTAAACATTCGCAAGGATTTCACGGACTGAGGGCGACCCGCTTTCAAAATGTGGCTCTCGCCTTAGCGCCGCGCACATTCGTTTTGAACATTTGCAAGACTGTCACGGACTGAGGGCGGCCCGTTTTCACAATGTTGCTGTCGTTTTAGCGCCGCGCACATTCGTTTACAAGATTTGCAAGAGTCAAGAGTTTCACAGATTGAGGGCGGTTCCTTTTCAAAATGTGGCTCTTGCTTGAGCGCCGCGCACATTCGGTTTTTAACTGTTGCAAGAGTTCCACGGATTCCCATGATCAGCGTACCAGAAACGATGTTTTGGAAGGGTTCAGGCGTATGAGGGTGCAACAGTTACGTTGATTCGCGGCGCTGGAGTCCCATGAATGAATGGCTTTCTGGCACGATTCTGGATCGTCAAAACGCAACAATGCGGTTGATCCGTGGCGTTGGAATCCCGACAACAATGTTTTGGCATGCTTCAAGCTCTTCAAACGGTTGTCTTCCAACAAAGCAGTTTCCTCTGTGGAAATGAATCGCTGTAGGGGCCTATGAAGAGGGAGCTTGGAGGGAGGGTTTATTCCAACATCGTTGGTGACTCCTGGGTTTGCACTGGTCCTCCTCCTCCTCCTCCTTCACCTCCTCCTCCTCCATCCTCCTCCGCCTCCTCCTTCCTCCTCCTCCTCCTCCTCCTCCTCCTCCTCCTCCTCTTCCTCCTCCTCCTTCCCCCTCCTCCTCCTCCTCCTCCTTCTCCATCCTCCTCCTCTCCCTCCTCCTCCTCCTCCTCCTCCTCCTCCTCCTCCTCCTCCTCCTCCTCCGCCTCTCCCCAGTCAACCCGACCACTCCAGGGGCCACGCCCGCAGGCCTGGACACCCCAGGTCCTCTTTGCGCCCCGCGACGACGGCCGCGCGGCCCCTTCTCTCGCTCTGATATTTTTAGCGTACCTGTTAGCGTGCGCGGCGGAGTGGTGCTATGATGTTCCAACTTACTTTAGCCTTAATCACCAGAAAGAATTTCGAGCACCAGAAAAGTACCGAAACTCTATGGTTTTCACGTGTCTGGCCCTGGGAGACACTCGTCCGACACTGTTTCGACACTGTTTTGACACTGTCCGTGAGAGAGATCACGCGTTCTTTGGAGTGGCGCAGGACGGGTACACATTGTTCATTTCTACTTCGTCGAAGATTCTTTGATTTGTGGGGGGGGCAAGATCCTCTCATGTCTAATTCTTCTATCCCCGGCCTCTTCCTGGCCATTGGGGGACCAGGAACAATTAGAAACAAACACAATTAGAAATGAGCACGATTATAAATGAACGACGTGTAACCATGTCACTAGCTCTGCTTTGCCAGACCGATCCTCTTTGCCCCAGGGGTTGTGAGAAATCCAGGGGCCATTTGGCTTTGGCGTAGACTGGGAAACGTTGCCACACAACTGCTCTGGATGGGGTCAGGGGATTGGTTTTGAGAGGATTCTGTCCGGGAGGATTCAGAGAGGACTCGTCTTTACAAGGCAGGCAGGCGGCTTTTCGTCCGTAGTTAGCCTGGCTCAGCCAGGCTAAATTCGATTGTCGGCTGCGATGGTGGAGTCTACGTTGGACACCTTGGGACGCTTGTGCTGGCCCTACAAGAGCCTCCCACCAGCGCTCAGCGAGGCTGCGCAGGCAGAGGCCCGCGCAGAGTTTATCTCCGTGCTCGAGGACCTGCGAAACCCAGAGGCGTCGCTGGGGCTGCTCGGGTACACGGTGCGGCGCCTGGAGCGCCTGCGGGACTACGGCAGGCAGCCCGTAGATGTCCACGTGCAGATAGCCGTGGAGCTCTGGAGGCGCGTGCGGCAGCCCGAGCTGGGCTACAGGCTCCGGCGACACCTCGTCGGCAGGTTGCACCAGTGCCTGCGCGGCCTCCGGAAGGACCGGCCGCGCGCCAGAGCGACCCTTCGCCAGAGTGACCTTTGGAAGCAGGGAGGGAATCCCCTGGCGATCTCGGGCGTGACCAGGGGGGCGAGGGGGAGAGGGGCTCGGTCACGCCACGATTCGCGCCGGCGCCGTCAGGGCCTGCCTAGGAATGGCTCATTCCCAGACGGCGTCGGCACGAACCGTGACGTGACCAGGGGAGGGGAGCGGGGTTTGTCGGGTATAGCCAGGACCCCGATTAAGGGGAGCAGGTTAGTGATTGGACCCCGAAGCCCAAAACATAGGCCCGAATCACTCAACCAGGTCTGCCGTAGCCAGCGTTTTTCGGGTGACGGAGGTTCCAGCTCTAGTGAAGTGGGCCGGGGCGGCGGGGCGGCGTCCATTGGCACACATCATGCAACCAGGTCCCACGAAGCCCAGTCTTGCCAACGCCCGAGAGTGGCGGGGCCGGTCACGAGCGTTTCATCGCGAGTGATGCAACAGCGGGCTCTTGGTGCGGGCCCACAGGGGGCCCTCCGCAGTGCCGCCCTGCGCGCTTGGCTCTCCCCCCCCTCGCTTCGGGCCGAACGAAAGGGGAGGAATGGGGAAAGGCAGTTACGAAAGCTGCTGCATGTAGCTGGTTTCGGCCCCGCCGCCGGGCCCATTACGCCATTCCTCGATACATGAGCGCCTCCCGGCGCCGGGAGGCGCTGGGGAAATCAGCTACGTGAGCTGATTCTCTACCCTACCCTTTGCTATCCCCCCCTTTCGTCCCCCCAGGGCTATGCACCAGGCGCCGGCGCTGTGCACCAGAGGGAGGGGGGGAGGAGGGAGGGAGGGAGGAAGGGATGAGGAAGGAGGAGGAGGAGGAGGAGGAGGAGGAGGAGGTTGGGAGGGAGGAGGAGGAGGCGGAGGAGGAGGAGCAGCAGCAGAGGCGCTGTGCACCAGAGGCCACCCTTGCCCCGGGCCGCTCTCCCAGAACTCCTGCGGGAAGCAAGCAGTGGCGGAGCGCTCTTGCTCGCCCAGAGGCCCACAAAGAATGTGCTGAGAACCTTTGTGTGATCTGCGCGAAATGCCAGCATAACGCTTCTGACAAAGATTCTTCTGCTGTAGCACATCGGCCCTGTGCTCTCAAAACAGTGCTCCGTGATTTGAACAGTGTGTTGTTTTAGGATCATGGCGTGGTAGGCCTACAGTCGGCCCAGATCAGTAGGTCGACCCTGCCAAATCAAAGGGGCCCTTGTGTCCTGTGTCTCGCGACCCATGCTTCCTACATTCCTGTGGCCATGTGGCCCTCGGAAGGGTCTTGTGTCCTCTCGCGTGTCCTGTCCAATCGAGTCCGACTGTATGCGAATGCCAGGGCGTTCGGTCTGCTCGAGAGATCTCATGTTCGCCGTGCGCGGCCGCAGGGCTGCCGACCCCAACCGTTGGCGCAGCTCCTCGCCCCGGGAGCGTCTCGGACGGCCCCAGGCCTCCACAGCGGGCCAAAGTCGGAGGCCAGAGCCGAAGAGACATCGGGCGGGGCCAGGAGCAGCTTCTCTGGAGGAGGAGGAGGAGGAGGAGGAGGAGGAGGAGGAGGAGGAGGAGGAGGAGAAGGAGCTCCCGACCCCTCCTTCTTTGGAGTCGCTTCTCGCCCCAGTGTCGTTTTCGACGGCCCCGGGCCCCGAAAGTGCCCCTCGGAGGGCAAAGGCGCAGATCAACTCGGGCGGGGCCAGGACCGGGACCAGCAGAAACCTTCTGGCGCGTCCCGGAACGGCGGCGCCCGAGGCATCTCTTCCAGGACCGCCAGATCTTACGATGATCATGATTACGATTATGATGACGATTCCCGCGCGCGGCCCGGGGAGGAGTTCTGCCCGTCGCGGGGGCTGAAGCCCATGGGCCCCGCCCAGGTCCCGGCGGAGGCGGGGCCACTGGCGCCGCTGCTGGAGGCGTCGGGGGGCGGCCACGAGGGGGGTGATGAGGGCCGGACCGAGGCATACCCAGACCCCCTCGCGCGGCGAAAGAATCACGAGGGGAGGTGTTTCGCTCTTTTCGGCCTCTGGAGGCCGTCGCCGGGCCCCGGGACCGTGCAAGAACGACGCGCAGGGTGATGAACTGGCCCCGGGGAAGGCGGTCGGGACTTCCGGGGACGCCGCACTGGTAAAGTCAGGACGTCGCATGCCTGGGGGTAGAAGACTGAGGTCGGTTCGGGGAGGGTACCCTTCTGTGAAACTCGGGCCCGTCCCTCTACAGGAGGAATACTCAAAAATAGTAAAAATTGTTATGGGGACGATTTTTTGGCTATTTGAGAATACTTTGGGGGTATTTTTGGAGCGTTTTCTGGGGGGCAGGCCCGACCTAAGGGTACCCTGCTGTTCTCCGTGCTCGTGGGAGGCGCACGGCCGGCCGCCCGCCGCCCGCTCGACGCGGAGCTCTTCCGCGTCCGAGTGCGCTTCCCTCCCCCTCCCAACCTGCGCGGCCCTGCCCGCCTGCGGGGGGCGACGGCCAGGGTCGGACCGAGGTACATTGAGGCCTCCCAGCCCCAGGAGGAGGAGGAGGAGGAGGAGGAGGAGGAGGAGGAAGAGGAGGAGCAGGAGGAGGAGGAGGAGGAGGAGGAGGAGGAGGCGGAGGCGGAGGAGATGGAGGAGGAGGATGAGGAGGTGTACACATTGTTCCTTTCTAATTATTCGGAAGTTCTTTGATTTTTTGGGGGGGCCAGGATCCTTTCCTCTCTAATTGTTCTATCCTGGGCCTCTTCCTGGCCACTGGGGGGCCAGGAGCAATTAGAGACGAGCACGATAAGAAATGAGCACGATTAGCAATGAACGACGTGTATCGAGGCCTCCAGATGGGGTCGGAGCAGATGGGGTCGGAGGATCTCGCCGCATCGCCGATGCATCGGCGGCGCATCGGCGGTACGGCTAGATGTTGGGCCCAATTTTCTCCACGCCGACGTCGCCGATGCATCGCCAGCGCATCGCCGATGCATCGCCGATGCATCGGCGGTGCGGCGAGATCCTCCGATCCATCTACTCGGACCCCATCTAGAAGGCCTCTGAGTATGAGATCGAGGACGGTTCGGGGAGGGTGCCCTAGCGCATTTCGTGCTTGCTGGATGTGCTCGTGCACCCTGGGGGGGTACCCTTGGATGTCCTGGGGGGGATATTATGGCGGGGGCCCTGATCCCAGATCCCCTCGAGCCATGAACACTCACGGCGCGAGGTTTTCCGCCAGTTTCGGCCCCAGGCCGCGGGACTGTCAAACAACGACTCAGGATGAGAAACCAGTCCCGGAGAATGGGTCGAGACCCCTGGGGGTCGACGTCATGAAAGATCATGACGTCAGGGGTCTGGGAGATCTCCCCGGATTTCATGGTGCCTCTTTTTTTATCGCTTCCCTCATCCCGCCGGCCCATCTTGCCTCGCCGCTGTCGTGTGTCGGGGTGGTCTTGTTAATGCGGTGCGGTTGGGCGGCTGCCATTTTTCGGAGGCGGTGGGTGGCGGGTCAGAGGCTTCACGGATGTTGGTTGGGCTCTCGTGGTTGGCCTTTTAGGGGCCTTTGGGAGGCAGTTTTGAGGCCTCTTAGGGGCCGTGTTGGGGCCTCTTGGAGCCTCTTGGGGGTCTCTTGGGTCTTCTTGGGGCTTCTCTTGGGGGCCCCTTGGGGCCTCCTGAGGGCCTCTTCGGGCCTCCTGGGGGCCTCTTGGGGCTGACGGCTGGACTTTTCGGTTCCTGGTCCTCTTCTTGGGCCCCGCTTGGGGCCGTTTTGGGGTTCTCTTGGGCCGTCTTGGGCGCCTCCTGGGCTGTCTTGGGGCCATCTTGGGCCGTCTTGGGGCCCTCTTGGAGGCTCGTGGGCCGTCGTGGGGCGGTCTTGGAAGCCTCGTGGGCCGTCTTGGAGCGCCGGTAAGCCGAAAAGGCGTCAGAAACTGAAGGAAAATCGCTAATTTCTGCCTCTGTGGGCCCTGCCTCTGTGGGCCATCTTGGGGAGTCTCTTGGAGGCCACTTGAGGCTCTCCTGGAGCGCTCTTGGGAGCCTGCTGGGACCTGGCCGGGAACTGCCCGGGACCTGCCCGGGACCTGCTCGGGATCTTGCCAGGACCTTGCCGGGACTTGCGGAGGTACTTCTCGTCTGGGGACCCCCAGGGGCGGCCCCGCGTGCGCGATCTAGAAATATTGTTATATAACAAGTTAGCGGAGATCTTAGCACGCCTTGAGCCCGTTGGGCTGGCGAATTTCAATACGTCCCCAGCCATGATTTGCGCCCCCCCTCCTCCTCCTCTTCTTCCTCCTCCTCCTCTTCCTCCTCCTCCTCCTCTTCCTTCTCCTCCTCCTCTTCCTCCTCCTCATCCTCCTCGCCACCCCTTCTTGGACGTACCCGAGAGGCGATCGGCTGGCGCGACGTGCAGGAGATGCTCCTCGGCGAGCTGGAGCGCTCGCGGAGGGGCGCGCCGCTGGAGCTCTCGAGGGCACAATCACCAGGCCGCCCTCCGGGGTGGTGCGAGGATTCCCCTCCTCCTCCTCCTCCTCCTTCTCCTACTCCTCCTCGTCCTCCTCCTCCTCCTGCTCCTGTTCGTCGTCGTCCTCCTCCTCCTCCTCCGCCTCCTCCTCCTCCTCCTCTGCTCCTGTTCGTCCTCCTCCTCCTCCTCCTCCTCCACCTCCTCCTCCTCCTCCTCCTCCTCCACGCCGGTCGTTGCAAAGCAGGTATTTTTGGGCTCCCAGATCCCAGTCGACTTCAGGCGCCTTCCTACATCAAGAGTCGACATGCTCCGGCTGTGTGTTCGCTATGAAATCTGGGAGGGCCTGAGCCCAGTCTGCTTCAGCCGCCTTCCTGCTTCACGCTTTCACCTACGTCTTCCGACCGGCGTGCACCAGATGATGTCGGGCTGCGCGCGTCGCGGCCTGGGCGGGTGGTGCGAGGGCGCACGGGTGCGGGAAGCTGATAGCGCGTCGCGCATCGCGGGGCACAGGGGCTCGAAGCTGGGCGGCCTGGAAGCACGATGGCCGTGACCAACAGCTCGCGGGATCTCGCCAGCGTCGATCCCTTGGCCGGCCGCCGCCGATGCGCGAGGGCGATCCACGTCTTGACGATGACCAAGTCATGGATGATGGCCAAGATCGACACCGACGTTTCCGCGGTCAGTCTTGGTCATGGTCCTCCGGTTGAGAGAAGCAAGTCTGCACCACCTGGGCGGCCCGACAACTGATGAGACGACCCCCCCGCCCCCGACCTTCCTCTGGAGAGCGGACGCGCGCACTGACATGGCATGTATCTGTACTTTTCCGAGCGGCCCCGGGAGATGTCACAACTATCACTATCAATGTCGGGGGCGCGGGGGAGCAGCAGTGCCACCAGATTCGGAGCTCAAGTCGAAGTGGTGCAAACATGTTTCTTCCAACCGTCCTTCCTCGTTTTCCTTTCCCCCCCGAGGAGCACTCGTCGCACCCGCAGCACTTCGCGGAGGCGCTGGCGCCGCTGCTGAACGAGGTGCGGCACTGGACGGCCGAGCCCGAGGCTGGGGGGCAAGCCGCTGGTCGGATGAGGACAGGATGCCGATATACACGCCGGTCGTGGAAAGCACGTAGGGACTTCTGGAGTCACAGGGCCTTCTCTTCTTCAAGTGCTTTCCTGCTTCAAGGATCTCTGTGCTTTTGTTGTCTGTTGCTATTCTCTGGGCGTGCCCGGACCCATCCACCGTCCTGCTTCATGCTTCCATCGCCGCGGCCCGGCAGCTGCCAGGGTCCCCGCCGGCGGGGCTGGCCGCGCCAGCTCACACAGGTACTTCTGGAGTCGCAGAGCCTTACCTTCTTCAAGTGAGCCACGCAAAAAAACGGGGTCGTCTGCGCCGACATTGGCGCGTAGGCTGCCCGAGTAAGATCGCGCATAAGTGCCTGTGTCTCCAAAGTAGCGTGCCGTGCCGGCGGCTCGCGTAATCCTTCGCGTAAGGTCGCTGCGTCATCTCGCGCAAGGACCCGTTTTTGATCGTCGCTCAAGTGCCTTCCTATTTCAAGAATCTCTATGTTTTTGCTGGTTGTTGCTATTCTCTGGGCGCGCCAGAACGCAATCTATACTCGATCCACCTTCCTACTTCATGTTTCCACGCACGCTGGCGGATACTGCTACACAGCACTCCCCTCCACGGCTGGATTCGCCTCGAAATGTTGGTCAGAACGCGCCCCTGGAGAGGTCTGGGAAGTAGCCGTTAGGACGCTAGGGAGAGGGTCCAGAGGAGAGAGAGAGAGAGAGAGAGATGTGCCAATGCCGTTGCACTTCCCTCGTCGTGGCCCTTTTGGGCCTCCTGGGAGGCCGTGGTCGCCACCGGTGGATGCGCCTCAGAGTTCTGGTCGGAACGCACCCCGGGAGAGGGATAGTTTGGCTCGGGGGGAGAAGCACTGGCTTCCAACCGCCCATTTATCGCCGAGACAGCGGGGCCCAGGAGCGTGCGGCTTCCGCATCGGGGGCCTATCCCCTGTCGCCGATCTATCTTCAGTGTATCGCCAATTCGTGTTCGTTGTTCCCCCCCATGAGCTACCCCCCTCGATCGTTCCCCTCAGAGGCGGAGGCCATCGTGGAGTCCCTGTCGCGCTGGATGGACCCCAGCCAGAGGTCGAAGACAAACACCGCACAGGCAGAAGTTTTCGGAGGTCCGAGCGGATTTCTTGGATCGGCGCTGCATGCCCAGACTCCTGGCGGTGCCTCCGGCGCCGCCTCAAAGCGGTTACTGTCTATCCAAGGAAGTCTGCGCGGGCCTCGGAACGTTTATTCTAGAGGCCTCTGGCCGGTGCCGCCGATCCGGGACGATCCCCCTGTTAGAAGGACGCTTTCGCCCCAGCGCGCTTGTTCAAACGTAAGTGAATTGGAAACAGCTTGGAGGCATTGCGTGAGCTTCTTGAGGGGCCTCTACGACGCATCTTCGAGGCCTCCTGAGGGGGCGTCTTGGAGGTGATTGTTGAGCCTCTCAGGGGGCCTTTTGGGTTTCTTGGGGGGTATGCAGGAGGCATCCTGGAGGCCTCCTGGGGGTGTGCAGGAGGTAATGTTTAAGCCTTCGGGAGCGTTTTTTGGGCGCCTTTTTGGGGGCCTCTTGGACTCCCAGGGCCACTTTGGTGCCTCCTGGGCGCCTCTTGGGCCGTCTTGGGCCCCCCTACCCCTGCAGAGCCACCCCGGCACCCACCCCCCAGCAGAGCTCAAGCTCAAGTTTATTTTGACGCAATTCATTCATCTTCTAAGAGGTCCATCATACTCTTTGGCAGGATGATGTTGATGAGCCTGCCGACGAGCTCCAGCCCAAAGTTCATCGAGGACGGCAGGCTCTTCGAGTGGTGGAACATGCTCCCCCGCAACGCGAACTCCCGGTACTCCCTGATGTGGATCATTGTGGCGGCCCGCACCGCAAAGTTGCGCTGGGCCAGCGGGGAACCCCGTAACCCCAAGCCGGTGTTCTCTTCAGACCAGCTCAAGGCGTTCCTGGACACCGTCGCTGGGACCATGTGCCTCCCCATAGACGCAGGCAAGTCGTGCGAGATGGACCATTTTGCAGACGACTGCCAGTGGGCCTTCCTCGGCGGCACACAGTACCGGTTAGTGGCAAAGTTCTTCGTCTACTCGCTCGAGCCCCTGGAGAAGGTCGGACAGGCGTTCCCAGAGGGCAGCACCTGGGCGGCTCTGGAGCTCTTCTTCCGCAGGCTGAAGCCCTGTATGATAAATTCTGGGATGTGGACGTTGCACGTCCGCACTCTCATCTTCGAGTTCACCCGAGGCTTCTACGTGCGCCTGTGCCGGGAGCGCTTCCAGGAGCCTGGCTGCCTCGCGCACGAGTCGTGCCGGCTCACCCCCGCGTGTGACGAGGCGTTCGTGCGGCTGCTGGCCCCCCTCCTGATCGACTCGCTCGCCCTGCAGACCTCGGGCGGGGAGCAGATGCACTCCATAGTCACGTCCCTCTCCTTCGTGACCCGCGTCTCGCTCTCGCACGCGCCCAGGTTCGACGAGATCCAGGTCTTCCTCCGCGAGTGCGTCGAGGACCTGGCCGACCCCATGTCCGTGCGGCACAGCAGCACTCTGCAGCTGCTTGTGGGCTTCACGCCCTTCCTCGTGTACGCGGTGCCGGGCCTCGTCGTCGACGCCGCCCACCTGGCCCTGCCGGGGATCGACGCGACGGATACGCTGAAGACGCTGATCACCGCCGCGTTCTTCGTGAACCTCTTCATGCAGGCCTCGAACTGCCAGCCCGAAGCGTATCCCTATCCCCATGATTGCCATTGCCGTCTCTCGGTGCCGATCGTAGGGGCCCCATGAGTTTCTGAGGGCGCATCCCTGAGATTATCATCGCCCTGGCGGTGCCAATCGCGGGGATAGGAAAAAGTCTGTGGCTGGTTAACGAAGAAGAAAAAACGGCGGCAAAAGGGTACAGTCGGGGTGCTGAATAAGGTCCAATTACTTTTTGGAAGGGGCTCAGCTGTTCCATGGGTCTGCATGCGTTCCGCTCCTTGTTTGGTGGCGAGCCCCCCCCCGGCGTTCCTGGAAAAAATTGGGGCTTCGTTCCTTATTTGTCGTTCCTCAGGTCAACGCTTAAGTCGGGCCTGCCCCTCTACAGAAGGGATATTCAAAAATAGTAAGAAAATCGTATGGGGACGATTTTTTTAGTATGTTTTGACCATGTTGGGGTATTTGGGGGTATTTTTCATTTTTCGTCCAAAATCCGCCTGTAGGGGGACATGCCCGACCTAATTCAACGCTCCGACTGTAATCTTCCAGAGTTCCGCGCGGACTTCTGGGGTCGGCGCCAGCGGCCCCCCTCGCGGCGCCTCCAGCGCCGGCCCCGGAAGGCCGCGCGGCCAGAGCTTCTGTTCACGCCGCTCCCCGGGCATCCAACGATGTTCAGGAGGGAAAAAAAAAAACACAGACACAATTAATCGTCGATTCCCCGGAAAATATGGGAAAATATGGAAATTGGGGGGGGGAAGACAAAAACCGAGAAAATATTGGATAATATGGGGAATATTGCAATTTGTATGTATGTATTCAATCGCTTCGCTCACTCCGCTGGCCCGTATTGCATGGTCGCTACTGCTTCGGCGCGGGCTCGGGGCCATTTCGGCGCCGCCGGAAGGAGGAAGATGAGGATGGGGAGGGGGAGGGGAGGAGGAGAAGAGGATGAGAAGGAACGGAGGAGGATGAAGATAAATATGAGGAGGAGGAGGAAGAGAAAAGGGCGGAGGAGGAAGCCTCTCGATGGCATCTTGCGGCGCTCTTGGGGCCAAACAGGGCCGTCGTCCAGATGCTTCTTTGGGAGGCCCTGGGGTCTGTTGAGAGGCCGTTCGGGGGCGCCTGGGAGACATTTTTGAAGCCTTGTAGGGCCTCTTTTGAGCCTCCTTGGAACCTCCTGGGGTCTCTTGGGGGCCTCTTGGCGGCATCTTGGGCCATCTTGGGGGCCTCTCGGGGCCTCCTGGGGCCCTGTTGGGGCGGAAGGCTTGAGGTTTCGGTTCGTGGTCCCCATCTTGGGCCCCTCTTGCGGCCGTCGCGGGGCTCTCTTGGGCCGTCTTGGGCGTCTCTTGGGCCGTCTCGGGGCCTGTTTGGGCTCTCTGGGGGCCTTCCCGGGACCTTCCCGCGCTGCGGTCGGGGTATTTTTCGCCGGGGGACCCCCAGGGGCCGCCCCGCGCGCCCGAACTAGAAGAATTGTGAACCAGTTACCGGAGATCTTAGCACGCCTCTGGCCCGTTGGGCTGGCGAATTTGTGTGTTCCAGGGCCCCTTCAGAGATGTTTTTTTTCTAGCGCGGCCTTGGGTGTCCCGAGCCGTTCTCCAGGGGGGCAGCTCGCTCGGCCCAGATTTTTTGTCGCTGATTGCCCCAGGGGTCCCGAGGACGGCCCACGCGGAGGCCGAAGTGAAGGAAAGGCGCCCCGGTATGGTTACGCCGGGGTGTGGTTTGCCGGGGTGTGGTTACGCCGGGGTGTGGTTTGCGATCGGCACCGTCGGGGCCTGGGAGGCACGACGCTGTCCTCGTCGGGCCTCCTCGGGGCGCGGCGGAGAGCTCTATCGAGGCCCTCGCCCGCCCCCCAGGGTGCCCCTCAGGGTGCCGGTTGCAAACCACACCCTTTGCAAACCATACCTTTCGGAGTCGCCGATTGTGGGTCGCAGACTCGGCGATCGCGCCAGGAGGTCGGGCGAACCTTCAGTACTGCGAAGCCTCCTTGCGCACAGAGAGGCGAGGAGACGGCGAGCGGCGGCCGCGCGAAAGAATCGAGTAGGGAATCAACTACGGCATCGATTTACCCCAGATTGATTTCCCCGCCGAATGTGCAACAAATGCGTATCTCATGTTCGTAGGTCTACGGTCCTTCTACGAATTGTCCATTGAGTCGGCGAAGAAATCAATCTTGGGGCACCTCAGCTCTGTAGTCGAACCCCTAATTGCTCGAAGGAAGAGGGAGGGAAGGCGGCCCCCTCAGACCGCGCAGGTCTTTTGTTGTGGCGGCATGCTGCGGCCCGTCCTGAGCGACGGACGAAAACTCGGCGGCGAGCGAGGGGGAGGAGGAGGAGGGCGGATGAGGAGGAGGAGGAGGATGAGGAGGAGGAGGAGGAGGTGGAGGAGGAGGAGGGGCGGAGGAGGGAGGAGGAGAGGAGGAGGAGGAGGAGGAGGAGGAGGAGGAGGTAGCGAGCGATGAAGAGCGAGTCCGAGCGTACGGACCCGCTTCAGCGGGTAGAAAGTGATGAGCCGCACGGCGAGGCTGCTAGCCATCGCACCGTGCCGCTTGACCTCGACCGCGCCGTCCCCACCTCGTCGGAGTACCAACGGAGGAGACCTGGCGTCGAGGTCATCATGGGCAAGGGTCCCCCGACCTGGGGTGCAGCCCTCGCAACGCACGTGAGATCTGCATCTCCTCGTTCGCGCGAGTGGAAGCCACGTCCGAATGTCCCTTGCATTGGGCTCGCAGCTTGCGGTTGCGGCCTCCAGCCACACTAAACGCCCCGCAGCAGAGGCAGATGACCGTGGAGCCAAAACGCTCCACTCCGTGGCCGAGTTCCGAGTACAATTCCACCTCCCGATCGACCCCGACGGCGACGACGTCAGCCCCCACTCCCCCATCCTCACGAGGGCCTTCAGACGGCCCTAGGCCTTCATCAAGGCCAGCAGCACGCACGGCGGCGTCCACCGCACGTGAGGCGTGCCGATAGCATTCGGGGGTGAGGGCAAAATAACGCGTCGCCATCGCTCTCTGAAGATCCGTCGGCTCGCATCGCTTCGCTCGAAGGGCCTTCAAGGAATCGGTCGTCCGCGCGAACCTGTTGCACTGCTGGCACCTGTATTCAGAAAGCCTCTCACAAACTCGAAACTCATGCGAGTCTAGCACAACCTGCGGGGCGGCGCCATCACGACAAACCAGAGACGGCACAACTTCTCTAGGTTGGAGTTCGGCATTCTTTTTGGCGACCGCTTGGGCCATCCAAGCAAAGACCTGCGAATGGTCTTTGGCCGCCTTCATGGCTTGCTTATAATAATCCTGCATGGTTCGGCCAGTTGAATGCACCTGGGCCCCTCGCTTGGCGAAAAAATCAGCCCACTCGTTAGCAACGAAACGGGCAAAATCGCAATCTGGGGCCTCCAAAACCTCCGAGAGCTCTCTGTGCGCAGGGACCCACTCGAAGGTAGGAGGAGCCTCAGGACAGCGCCGCCGTATTTTTTCCCACACAGCCGCGTGTCGACCGCCAGAGGAGGCAGCGGCCTCCGACCAGGCACACCCCTCACGCACAAGATTCAGGTGATCAGACACTACGATTGCAGGCTGCTGCGCAACTTCAACTGCTTTGAGCGCTGCGTAGTGCTCTGCACGTGGCACCGTCTGTACCGCTCCTGGTAGCGCGCCAAAAATTACACGCAAAACGTTGCCAGCCTCGTCGACCTCCACCACAGACCAGCCGCAGCGGGCCAGCTCTGGGATCGACGACGCTTGGCCGCTTCCGTCGGTGTACACCCTCCGCCCCCATCGCCCACGCCAGTCCCCCCATCCCAACACGGGATACACGTCGCTCGGGGGCGACAGCGCTGGTGGCTCGGGCGGCAACCCGAAGCTGAGATAAAATTGATCCGCTCCAGATTGCGAATGATTCTTGGCCTTGATGGCCTTCCTCAGCTCGAGGACATAATCTGGAACAGGCACGTCCAACCCGTCGAACATGGCTTCGCACTCAAACCATTGGTGAGACTCGTTGCCAGTCGCCTGCTTGCATACAAAACACTGCGGGGAATTGCGGAGGCCGATGCTGTGCAAACGCTCGGGGGTCCAAACACCAGCCGACCAAAGCGTGCGCAAGGCGCCTCGCCTCGCAACATCTCTTACCGCAAGTACTGCTTTCCTCATTCCCCTCCTCCAGCAGCTCTCTCCAAGGCTGTTGGGAAGGTGCTGAAGGATCCTGACAACTTGCCAGCGGCGAAGGCTTTCCTCCAGGAAGGCTTTCACGTCTCCTGGGCAATGCCTAACTAAATCGACGTGGCGACCTCGATCGTCCACAAGCACTGTTGGAGAAAACATCGTCCAACCCACACGCAGCAGCGTGACCCAAACAGAGGCGATGGGGCCACGAGCTCTGGTCCACGAGGTGCGTTGGTCTAGCTTCGCCCTGACCGCCTCCCAAGCTCTACGGAGCCGTCCAGGCGCGACCCTATTATCCCAAATGAACGACGCAAACCTAACCACCAAAGGAACCGTCGCATCAAAGATAGGGTCGAACCTGTCGTCTCGCTGCGTTGCTAAAAACAGGGTGAGCGACGCCTTGGGCTTGGCCCCGCACATGCCTCCAGCAAACGTCCTAAGCTCGCGAATCGCCGTGTCAGGTATCCCTGACACTCCAGCGCCGTGGCCGCCCGCTGGGAGGAGCCCCGTCCTCCACAAGGATTTCACGGCCTCCCCCGCGGCGTGCTTCAATCCCCACACTTTGCGCCTACGAGCCTTGAGATTCTTAAGACGCATCTTTTCTTGCACACGCAAAACCCTAGTGCCGTGCATCTCGTGACCTAGATTGCGCATCGCTCGCTTCGCTCTCATACGAAGAGGCATCACCAAACGAGCGAATCTATCTCGGCCTCGGCTCGAGGAGGGAGGAGGAGGAGGAGGAGGAGGAGGAGGAGGAGGAGGAGGAGGAGGAGGAGGAGGAGGAGGAGGAGGGAGGAGGAGAGGAGGAGGAGAGGAGGAGGAGGAGAGGAGGGAGGAGGAGGAGGAGGCGGAGGAGGAGGAGGAGGAGGAGGAGGAGGAGGAGGAGGAGGAGGAGGAGGAGGAGGAGAGGGGAGGGGGGGAGAGGGAGGAGAGGAGGAGGGGGAGGGAGGAGGAGGAGGAGGAGGAGGAGGAGGAGGAGGAGGAGGAGGAGGAGGAGGAGGAGGAGGAGGGTGAGGAGGATGAGAGGGAGGAGGAAGAGGAGGAGGAGGCTGAGGAGGAGGATGAGGAGAATGCGTATGATGATGGTGGTGATGATGATGATGAGGATGATGATGATGATGATGATGATGATGATGATGATGATGATGATGATGATGATGATGCTGATGATGATGATGATGATGGTGGTGGTGGTGGTGATGCTGCTGCTGATGATGATGCTGATGATGATGATGCTGATGATGCTGATGATGATGATGCTGCTGATGCTGATGATGCTGATGATGCTGATGCTAATGCTGCTGATGATGATGATAATGATGATGATGCTGCTGATGATGATGCTGATGCTGCTGATGATGATGATGGTGATGATGATGATGATGATGATGATGATGATGATGATGATGATGATGATGATGATGATTATGATGGTGGTGGTGGTGATGATGATGATGCTGCTGCTGCTGATGATGATGATGATGATGATGCTGATGCTGATGCTGATGCTGATGCTGCTGATGCTGCTGATGCTGCTGATGCTGCTGATGATGATGATGATGATGAGGAGGAGGAGGAGGAGGAGAAGGAGGAGGGGGTAGGAGGGAAGTTTCGGGCTCGAGGTTCGAGGTCTTCGGACGTTTTCGTCGATTCTCGGCTGCTTGCCAGCCTCGGCGTGCGTTCCCAGCGGCCGTACCTCGCCGAGGGCGTTCCCGGGGGTGCCCCCGGATCGCCCCGAACGGCCACTGGAGAGCCGAGCTATGACCCAAGAACCAGCAGGCGTCCGAGAAGGAGAGGGCTCTTTTTCAGAGGGCGGCGGGACTCCTCAGAAGCCCTCGCGCCTCCTAAAAGGTTTGATGTGTCTTCGGGGAGGGCTCAGAACACTTCTCGGAAGGCCGGGGAGCTTCCGAGCCTTCAGCGAGTCCCCAGCGGGCGCGCCGCCGAGAAACGGGTTCAACTGCGCCGACATTCGCGCGTTAAGCTTCCCGCGTAAGGTCGCGCGTAAGCGCTCTCGCGTCCAATATGGCGTGCCGCGTTGGGGGCCCTCGTGAAGCTGTGGCGTAAGGTCGCCATGCCATCCCGCCTAAGACTTGTTTCTTTTCGTCGCTCATATGCGATTTGGGCTGTACTTCCCCTCAGGCCCTCAGCTGCCTCGGCAATGTCAGCATGTGATTAATACAAGGCCCTCCTCCCTGGAGCTGATGAATAGACCCCGCGGGGCGTGATATTTTTTTAACCACACGCGCCAGGGGGAAGGAGGAGAGAGGAGGGGGATGGGGGAGAAGGACGAGAGGGAGGCAGGCGGGCAGGGAGGGCGGGGGACGGCGGCGACGACGGCGACAGAGGGGCGAGGAGGACTACCCGCCTTGCTCGGGTCCGACGAAAGGCTGGGGAAGGAAAGGAGGGGTTGCAAAGCCTGCTGCGCGCAGCTGATTTCGGTCGCCCCGCCAAAGGGCCAGTCCTCGACGCATGGCCGCTTTCGGCGCCAGGAGGAACTTGGAAAATCGGCGACGCGAACTGCTTGGCAAATCCCCCCTTTGCTGCGCCCCGTTTTCGTCCAGCCCGCCTTGCCCGCAGGCCCGCATCGGTTCGACAGAAAAAGGGGCGCCCTGGCTTGCCTTTGCCTCCAAACACCCCCCCTTGCCCCTCGTTGGCGGCCAGGCGTCGGCGCTAATCACCAGCGCCGCCCCGTTGATTTTCAATCTGGCGGGCGTCACCCCGCGATTCGACCGAGCAGGGGAACGATTGTTTTAAACACGCGCCCCCCACGGATTTGCCAATCACAAGCCTGCATTACGTCCGTTTTTGGACGCAACACGCACCGTGCTCAAATCGTCCGTGTCAATGCGTTGCGTGTTGGCTCAACGTCTTGGCCTACGTTCTGGCGAGCATTTCGCATCATACCTACGCTGCCAGTCCACGTTCAATACGCTACGTGTTGCGTGCTGCGTGTCGGGGCAGCTGAGCTCAGGTCTCGACCCGCCTGCGACCCACCCCGCGACCCGCCCGCGACCCACCCGCGATTCGCTCTCGACATCCGCAACCCACCACGCGCCCGTTCCGCTACTCTCATCAGCAGCTGGGGGGTGTTATGTGTGAGATCGGGGCCCCCGTTTCGGATGTCTCCTCGAGCACGCGTTGCGCGGAGGTCGCCTGGTGGAGTGCGGGGGACATGGAGGAAGGGGGACGAGGGCGGAGTAAGGGAGGATGTAAGGAGGAGGAGGGGGAGGAGGAGGAGGAAAAGGAAGGAGGAGGAGGAGGAGGAGGAAGAGGAAAAGAAGGAGGAGGAGGAAGAGGAGGAGGAGCAGGAGGAGGAGGAGGAAGAGGAGGAGGACGAGGAGGACCTCCCATTTTCCCTTGTCCCGTGTCCTTTTTCTTCACTCAGGTCCCGACCATGGACCTCTCGACCCGCGAGCTGCCCGCAGAGCTGCCCCGGGTGCTGCAGCAGGCGCTTCCCGTGCTGTCCGAGGCGGACGGCGCCGTGGCGCCGGTGCCGCCTGCGACGCCCGGGGAGCTGCAGATGTGCACCTCCACGCTCCCTGACCTCTGCCTGGACCTCCTCGAGCGCTTCCTGGAGTACGTGCAGGCCCAGAGCCCCGATGCCGCCGCTCGTCCTTTGGGAGGGCCCAGGAGATGCCCTGGCATTTATTCAGGTTTTTCAGGCCGGGCGTTTTTTCGCCATCTTTCGGGCCCTGGGGCCTTCACAGATCGATCCAGCTCGCAAAATACGCAGGATTATGGGGTCCAGGGCTCCGGGCGTTGTTTTGTATTCTATTGCACAATGTTGCAGTTTTCTCGCTACATCGGATTTCAGAGGCCCTTATCGCCACGGCTGGGTTCTCCTCGAGGTCCTGGCGAGAACGCGCCCCAGAGTCAGCGGTGTCGGTATATTTTTCGTCGAGTTGTAAGAGACAAGGGTCAATGCAAACGGGGGTCAGCCAGAGCGACGGATCTTGCAGGATCCTGCAAAGCCAGGGTTGCACTGATCTGGGCTCGTGCGCAGGATCCCGCAAAGCCCGGCTGGCCCAGGTTTGCGTTGACGCCAGTCAGTGCGTTTCCGAGTTTGGTTCCCCCGCTCATTCACGTAAACGTTCGGACCGCGTAGCTTTATTTTGCATCTGCGTCCCGGCGCTTCATGGGGTGCGTGCAGGCTGGGCGGCGCGCACTGTGGGGGCTGCGCGACAGGGGGGTTAGGCTGAGCGAAGAGGAGGAAAAGGAAAGAGCAGGAGGAGGAGGAGGAGGAGGAGAAGAAGAGGAAGAAGAAGGAGTAGTAGTAGTAGTAGTAGTAGTAGTAGTAGTAGTAGTAGTCGTAGTCGTAGTCGTAGTCGTAGTAGTAGTAGTAGTAGTAGTAGTAGTAGTAGTAGTAGTAGTAGTAGTAGTAGTAGTAGTAGTAGTGGTCGCAGTACGAGTAGTAGTAGTAATAGTAGTAGTAGTAGTAGTAGAAGTAGTAATAGTAGTAGTAGTCGTCGTCGTAGTAGTAGTAGTAGTAGTAGTAGTAGTAGTAGTAGTAAAAGTAGTAAAAGTATTATTATTATTAGTAGTAGTGGTAGTAGTAGTAGTAGTAGTAGTAGTAGTAGTAGTAGTAGTAGTAGTAGTAGTAGTAGTAGTAGTAGTAGTAGTAGTAGTAGTAGTAGTAGTAGTAGTAGTAGTAGTAGTAGTAGTAGTAGTAGTAGTAGTAGTAGTAGTAGTAGTAGTAGTAGTAGTAGTAGTAGTAGTAGTAGGTAGTAGTAGTAGTCAGTAGTAGTAGTAGTAGTAGTAGTAGTAGTAGTAGTAGTAGTAGTCGTAGTAGTAGTAGTAGTAGTAGTAGTAGTAGTAGTAGTAGTAGTAGTAGTAGTAGTAGTAGTTAGTAGTAGTAGTAGTAGTAGTAGTAGTAGTAGTAGTAGTAGTAGTAGTAGTAGCAGTAGTAGCAGTTAGCAGTAGCAGTAGCAGTAGCAGTAGCAGTAGTAGTAGTAGTAGTAGTAGCAGTAGTAGTAGTAGTAGTAGTAGTAGTAGTAGTAGTAGTAGTAGTGTAGTAGTGTAGTGGTGGTGGTGTGGTGGTGGTGTGGTGGTGGTGTGTGGTGGTGGTAGTAGTAGTAGTAGTAGTAGTAGTAGTAGTCGTAGTGGTAGTAGTAGTAGTAGTAGTAGTAGTAGTAGTAGTAGTAGTAGTAGCAGGAGGAGGAGGAGGAGGAGGAGGAGGAGGAGGAGGAGGAGCTTCTATGGAAGCCTCGCGAGAAGCGGGGAGGGCCGTCGATGCGCCATCTGCCCTCTCAGCCGCCCCCCCGCCTTCTCGGGAGGCCGCCCCCCTCGCACCACCCCTCGTGCTCGCCGGGCGTTCAGGCCGTGCTTCGAGCCTCCTGCAGCCGTCCGGGACGATCCCCCCAGGCGCCCCTCGACGAGGCGCTGCTAGTGGAACGCACCCTGGGGCGCGAACGCTTCCGAGAGCACTCAAAGCCAGCCGATGTTGTTTCCCGACATTTCCGGGGATTTCCAGGACTCCTAGAGGCAAGTGGACGTTTCCCAGCAGTCAGGGGGGGTTTACATAATTGCTTTGTGGTTGCGCCTCCCACGAGACATTGTGGCCGCGCTTCCCTCGAGACGCCTTATGGCTTGGTTTCGTCACTGTTCTGTCGCGTTGCAAACAACGCGTCTCGATAGGAATTGCTGTTTTCAGTCCCCCCCGCCCAAACAGAGACCATTCGCACACCTCCGATCTTCGATCCTCGACCGCCCCTGCCAAGCCCCGTTTGCGCGCCGCTGGCAGGCGGTGCCGAAACCCTCGAAGAGGGACGGCATGGCCGCGCTGGACCTGGCCGGCCCGCGGCTGCTGGCCACGGCGCTGTTCTTGTGCGCCCGGCAGAGCGAGGCCAGGATCGTAGATGCGATGACCGACCGGCTGGCGGAGTGGCTCAGGACCGGAAGACCAAGCCAGCAAGAGTCATGAAAAAATCACGACGCGAGGTGTTTCTTTGTTTTCGGCCTCTGGAGGCCTTCACTGGCCCTCGGGACCGACGAAAAACGACTGAGGATAAGAAGCCGGTCCCAGGGAATGGGTCGAGACCCCTGGGGGTCGACGCCGTGAAAGAATCATGATGTCAAGAATTTGGGGGCGTTGCACGGACAGAAAGTTTCCGAGCTCCTTACGGTGGAGCTCTTTACGGGGCCACGAAACATGTGATATATGCACCGACATGGGCTGGGGGGCGCTATGCGGTCGGCCTTGTTGAAGTTTTCGGTGAAGCTTCTTGTGGGGCCACGAGACGTGTGAGGGGTGCGCCGAAAGAGGTATACAGAGAGCAGACGCATGATGGAGGGGACAGCGGGAGGAAAGAGTGAGGCGCGGGGAGTCAAAACAATGGCCCAACACCACGAGATGGTCGGGAAAAACGCGACGTCGGGGGTCGGTCTCTAGATGTCGGCGCGGGCTTCTCTGGTCGGCGTTGGACCCATCGTTCCAGACCCTGTGTCTCCGACGCGCTCTGCGCGCCAAGGGAGGGGTGTCGCCGCAGGCGCCGCCCAGGGGTGTGGAGAAAGGGTGGATACCTTCGTCAGGACCACCCTGGTCCCCAACGCTGTCAAGGCTGTGGGCATGCTGGTGGCCGCGTTCAGTCTGGCGCACCCGCGGGCCTCCGCCAGGCTGCTGGACGTCGCCATCCGCAGCCTCCCGCTCACCGACAAGGGCCTCGCACCCCTGGGGGAGAGCGAGGTGGGCGAGGGCCGACTGCGCCCATATTCGCGGCGACGACGACGACGACGATGGCGACGACCACGACGGCGGCGACGACGACGACGACGGCGGCGGCGGCGACGACGGCGACGACAACGACGGCGACGACGGGAAAGCGATCGACCGCGCCGACATTCGCTCGCGAGCTTCCCGCGCGAGTGCCGTGCGCAAGCGCCCTCTGCTCCGCGCGGCGTGCCACGCATGGCGGCCCGCGTGGGCCACGGCGCCCAGGGTCGCCTACGGTGAGGGCGTGCGGTCAGGAAGGCGCCCAGGGGGGCGTCAGGATCCCTCGTCCCCAGACCCCCTCGAGTAGTGACAAACATCATGACGGGAGGGTTTTCTTGATTCTTTACGCTTCGCGTATCCCCACCAGCCCATCTCACAGCAGCAGCTCTTGCGAAGCATGCCGACAGTCGCGTTTTTCAGGCGTGTGTCCGCTTGGCCCCGCATATCTCCCCTGTTCCTCCTTCCTCCCGCCTCCTTGTACATCCTCCTTGTGAGGGGAGCGGGAGAAGGACGAGGCGGAGGAGGAGGGAGAGAAAGCGCTCCTCGTGATTTGAGTCGTTTGGGGTTTCTCGTCCTGGTGTGAGTCGTTCGGGCCCTTCTTCCTGGTGTGAGTCGTTCGGGCTCTTCGTGGTGTGAGTCGTTCGGGCTCTTCGTCCTGGTGTGAGTCGTTCGGGCTTCTCGTGGTGTGAGTTGTTCGGGCCCCTTCCTGGTGTGAGTCGTTCGGGCCCCTCCTCCTGGTGTGACTCGTTCGGGCTCCTCGTGGTGTGAGTCGTTCGGGGCCCGCGTCGTGGTGTGAGTCCTTCGGGCTCCTCGTGGTGTGAGTCGTTCGGGCGCCTCGTCCTGGTGTGAGTCGTTCGGGCCCCTCCTTGTGGTGTGAGTCGTTCGGGCTCTTCGTGGTGTAGTCGTTCGGGCCCCTCGTCCTGGTGGGAGTCGTTCGGGCTCCTCGTGGGGCCTCTTGGGGGCCTCTTGGAGCCTCGTGGGGCCTCTTGGGGGCCTCTTGCTCTTGGGGGCCTCTTGGGGCCTCGTGGGGCCTCTTGGGGGCCTCTTGGGGGCCTCTAGGGGGCCTCTTGGGGCCTCGTGGGGCCTCTTGGGGGTTGGGGGATTCTTGGGGCCGCTTGGGGGCCTCTGGGGGGGCCTCTTGGAGGCCTCTTGGGAGCCTCCTGGGGGCCTCTTGGGGCCATCTTGGGGCCTCTTGCGACCTCCTCAGAAGCGCAAGCGAGAGCTGCCCCCTGAGAAGGACAAAATGAGCCCAAAACCTTCGTAAATTCAATGATTTTGCTACGAGGGAAGATGAGCGCGGCCCCCTCAGAAGGCCAAAATGGGGCTAAAACCTTCGTAAAATCAATGGTTTCTGCTTCAAAGACGAGCAGAGGGGCCAAACTCCCCCCCCCCCCTCGGGGCCAGAATCCTCGTGAGGGTCGTCGTTTTTTGGCCCTCCGAGGAGTCGAAATGGACCCCCCTGACACCACCCCGGGCTCCCTGTCCAGGTCCAGGGGGAGGGGGTAGGGGGAGGGGTAAACCCCTCCCCGAAGGGGAAGAAGGGGGGTTGAGGACAGAGCGGGCTCTCTAAACCACTCACGCCCAAAGGGCTGGTGGGATTTTCGGCCTCTGGGGGCCCTCACCGGGCTTCGGAAGCGTCAAAAAACGACTCAGGATGCAAAGCCGGTCCTGGCGAATGGGTCGAGAACTCTGGGGGTCGACTTAATGAAGAAATCATGACGTCGGGGGTCTGGGTCTGAGGAGGGCGGCGGGGACATCCACGGCCACTCCTCGCTCGGAGCCCCACTGACTGCCAGGCTTTAGATTCCTTTCCCAGTGGTTCCTCATCCAAAGCCCTGGCCGTACCGCGGTCAGGGTACCCTGGGTTTCTTCGCGCCGCGCGCTGCGCGGTGACTTCCCGCGGCCGTCAGAGAAGCTGCTGCGTTCAGGGTGCTCCGTGTTTTCCCCCTTGGTGCACCTCGCGCGCGGGTTTTCGGGACCGGGCTCCTTGCGAGGGTTCCTTGCGGCCGCGCCCGCGCTGTATGTTTTTTTGCGCAAGACCCCCAGAGATCCGGGGTCGTGATGTTTTCAGTGCGGGGCCCCTGGATTTCTCGACCCACTCCCCAGGACCAGTTTTTCGTCCTGAGTCGTTGTTTTACGGTCCCGGGGCCCGGCGAGGGCCCCGAGAGGCCGAAAAATACGAACAATTTCCGTCTTGATTTTTTCCATACGTTGGATCTTTGGGTCGGACCTTCCTCCTCGCTCCTCGCTCCTCGCTCTTCCTCCTCCTCCTCCTCCTCCTCCTCCTCGGCGAGGGCCCCGAGAGGCCGAAAACTACGAAAAAACTCCGTCTTGATCTTCTCAGTGCGCCGGATCCCTGGGTCGCCCAGGTGGTGTGGCACATGTCTGCCCTGGCCGCCGCGGCGCGCTCCGGGGCGGTGGAGCTGCTCCCGCGGAAGGAGGCCCTCGAGGCGCGCATCACCGCGGCGTTGCAGGACGAGCGAAAGCTCGTCCGGAAGGCGTCGGGAGCCTTGAGACAGGGGTCAATGCAAGCGGGGGTCAGCCAGGGCACTGGATCTTGCATGTGACGAACGAACAACACACACCCATACCCATAGGGGGGTCGTTGGGAGGAGGACTGGCTGTGGGTATGGGTGCGGGTTGTCGGACCTTGGGGAACGCTCCCGTTCGAGCGGGGACCCCCATCCGACAACACGCACCCATAGCCCTCTCTGATCCCCCTATGGGTATGGGTGTGTGTTGTTGGCTCGTCAGCATGATCCTGCGAAGACTCCCTCTGGTTGACCCGGCTTAGCGAGCCGCGAGGCGGCCGCGCACATTGGCTGACCCGGGTTTGCGAAGCCCTGCGCTGCAGCTTTTTTTGTTTTTGTTTCCTGCGTTGCAGTTGTTTGGTTTCCTGCTGACTCGGGTCTGACTGACCTGGGTTAGCAGACCCCCGAAGGCGGGAGCCAAGCTGTGCCGCCGCGTCCTCATGGGCCTCACCGCGCCCTTCACCAGCGTGGTGAGGCTTCGTGCTGCGCTCGCCCCGAGGTGCCAGAGGTCCAGCGCATTGAAATACAACTCCAGCCGGAGGCTCTTCGTATGTCTCGGCCTCCCAGGGCCCTCGTCTGGCCCTGGGACCGTCAACAAAACGTCTCAGGACGAAAAACCGTTCTTGGGGAATGGGTCGAGGTTTCCGGGGACCCCGTATTGATAAAATCACGACATCGGATCCCTGGGGAGATATTGGCGTCGCATGTCTTGTCATATAGGGCGTCTTCACCCGGCTGGCCTCAACACGCCCCCCTCGTCCGGGCCGTCTCAACACCCTGGAGCCGCTTCCGGCGCGCCCCTGGGGCGCCCACAGCGCTGAGGTGTTGAGACCGCCCCAGGCTACTCGGGGGGCAGCTGTTGAGGCCAGCCGAGGCTACCTGGGGGGTCTGTGCGTGGGCAGCCCGAAGCCTCACCACACCAGCGACCTCACCGGCGACGGCACGGTCGAGGAGGCCCTGAGCAGGTGGTCGGGCGCCCGCTCGCTGAGCCTCGGCTCGGCCCTGCGGCCTGTGGCCTTCCACGAGCCGTCCCCGGAGGAGCTGGCCTTCGCCAAGTCCCTCTGCGAGTGGGCGCTTGATAAGATGAGGCTCGGAGAACGACGAAACGGACCGAGCCTCACAGCTTTCGGAGGTCTGCGCAGATCTCTTGGGTGGGCGCTCGGGCCCCCCTGGCGGCGCCTCCGGCGCGGCGCCTCCGGCGCGGCGCCGCCGCCCATGGCGCGCTCCGCGCCGAAGGGAGGGGGTTCAGCGCAGATTCAAGGAATCTGCGTGAGTTTCCGTGGCCTCCTGTCGTCTGGGGGGGGGACCCTTGTAGTCGGCGGGGGGGTCCTTGTAGTCCAGGGGGGGGTCCCTGTAGTCCAGGGGGGGGGGCCTTGTAGTCCAGGGGAGGGGCCCTTGTACTCGGGGGGGCCTGGGATAGTCCAGGGGGCCAAAACTATGAGATGTTACTCAGAGTAGGCGCGCACCAACAACCTTGCCTGACAGCGGGTGCCCCACGATTAGTAATTTCTTCGCGTCCGCTTGGCCCGCCGAACCTCACGAAGCTCAGAGGCGACGGAGAACGTGCCCCTAGAAGAGTCCTGATGCCAAAGCGTCTCACCATATGCGCTTACTGTATGGCCCCTGTCCTCGTCCTCCTCCCCCTCCCCCTCCCTCTCCTCCTCCTCCTCCTCCTCCTCCTCCTCCTCCTCCTCCACAAGTCCGCAATCTTAATACTACTCTCCTCTCTCCCTTGATGACGTCCGGAAGATATTCGGCCCCCCTCCACGTATTGTCTTTTACACCGGATTCCCGGGTACTGGGTTATCGCTTGGGTTTTTTCCCAAAATTTTGTTCCCGCTGAAGCGCTGGCCTCATGTTCGGCCTTCCGCTCGTTTCCAATCGTGCTCCCGCTGCAGCGCTGGCCTCATGTCCTGGCTTTCATAAATGTATTTGGCAAGACGATTCTTTTCGGTCCATCCCAAAAAAGGTTACTCCCGCTGCAGCGCTGGCCCCATTTCGGCGCCTCTGGTTGTTCAACAACGTGCTCCCGCTGCAGCGCGGGTGTTTTCGGTCCTTCCAAATAGGCCCCAAATTTAGAAAATTACGTCCCAGAAAAAAATACATCGCAAGTGATCACACATCCGGTGACGATTCGTTCAGTTTTTGGGGGGCCGCAGAAGACCCCCCACTTCGGGGCGGCGGCGTTTGGAGAAAGTATCAAGCTGGAGCCCCGTTTCTGCTTTCAGCAGGCGATGTTGCAAGCAAAGCCAGCGGGTGCTCTCCATCAGCCCCGCCTTGTGGGGAGCTTGTCGTGGAGCCCAGGGAGCTAAACATGGAGTCGCGACTCCAGACCAGCCCCGACCCTTCGAAGATTATCCAATTACCCTCCAAGGAACCCGGTGACCTGTCATGAAGGCTGTGCGGTGTTCTGTTCTGCGCCGTTGTGCGATGCCATGCTCTGCGTCGCAATGCTTTGTGATGCAATCTTTCACTACGCAATTACACGCCATGCTATGACATTATACGCTCTGCCGTGCTCTTCTACGCCATGCCATGCCGTGCTCTACGATGCATCGTGCACCCTCTCGCGATCATTGCCTGCTCGACACCCGACTGTGCGAATAGAGAGGAGGTCCACGCCATAGTCAGGAATGGGAGGGAGGGGTAGGACTCATATATGATGCGAGCGCACCTAGCTTGTCCTCCTCTCCCCCCTCCTCCTCCTCCTCCTCCTCCTCCTCCTCCTCCTCCTCCTCCTCCTCCTCCTCCAAATCCAAGTCCTCCACATCCTCCAAATCCTCCTCCGCCTCTTCCTCCTCGGGAGGCAGCTCGCTGCGGGGTCGGACGAGGATATCCACACCATGCTGACATTGTGCAAGTCGCTGCTGCGCGGAGTGGCGTGCCTGTACCCCGACGAGCGGGAGGGCGCGCTGTTTGCCGTCAGCGCCCTGCCGAACGCCATGGGACCGACCATCTTCCAGGAGATCGCTGCTCGCTGCTCGCACCTCCTCTTCCTTCTCCTCCTTCTCCTCCTCCTCTTCCTCCTCCTCCTCCTCCTCCTCCTCAAACCATCTTCTAGGAGTCGAAGAAGAAAAAACGCTATAAACATAAACTTTTGGCGCTCCGCGCGGGTTTCTCGGATCCGCGCTGGGCCCCCCCCCCCCCCCCCCCGCGGCGCCTCCGGTGCCGCCCCTGGCGCGCTCCGCGGGCCAGGCAGGGGGGGTTCAGCGCGGATCCAAGAAATCCGCGCGGGCGCCAAAAGGTTATGTTTCTGGCGTTTCCTTTTCTTCTAAGGAGATCGCCGGCATGCTGCTCGCGCTGTGCCCCAAGCTCGGCGGCGCCCACCACCCCTTCGACAATCGAAGAAGAGAAAGCGGCACGCACACACACACACACACATGCGGTGAGCTTTTGGTTAAGTTATAGTGCCTCCCGCCGCTGGTTCTGGCCCACAGCGCTTCAGCGCGACACGCTGACGATTCCCAAGTCCCCAGGCGGGAGCATTTCCAAGCCTGCCGCGCCGCGGGGCGAAGCGACCCAGGGCACGCATTTCAGGCACAGCGTGATGGGCCTGCTTTCCACAGCACCACAATAAGAAGGGGGAGGGGGCCCTCCTCCTCCTCCTCCTCCTCCACCTCCTTCTCCACCTACTCCTCCTCTTCATCCTCCTCCTCCTCCTCCTCGTCCTCCTCGTCCTCCTCCTCCTCGTCCTCCTCTTCCTCCTTCCCCCCTCCAACTTATGGTGGTGGCGGTGGTGGCAAACAGGCCCATCACAGCGTGCCGCCGGGGTCGCCGCCGCGACACGCTGGAGCAAAAGCTCCCGGCCGTGAGCGCTCGGAGCTCCGCGCGGACTTCTCTCGGGAGCTGCGCCGGGGACCGGCCCCCCGTGCGCGGAGCGCGCCGAGGGGCGGCGCCCCTGAGGCGCCGCCAGCGAGGGGCTGGGCGCCGATCCAAGAAGTGTTAACCGGGCCGAACGAAAGGGGGGGGGGTACGACATCTGCTGCATGCAGCTGGTTTCGGCCCCGCCGCCGGGCCCATTCCTCGATACATGGGCGCCTCCCGGCGCCGGGAAAAGGCCCGTCGGGCATGTCCCTCTACAGGAGGGATGTTCATAGATGGTCGAAGAGTAGTCTGGGGACGATTGTTCGACTATATTTGTTGGCTCTTGTTTTGTATTTTGCTTTGTCTGTTTCTCATTTCTCTGCGGACATCCGCCTGCGGGGGGACATGCCCGACCCAGCAGAAGTCCGCGCGGACCTCCAGCAGCCTGTGCCTGGGCCGCGTTCGCCTCTTCTCGAGAAGGAGGACGGGGGCCCCTCCAGCCGCCCGAAGCTGCTGTGCAAGGCCCTGCGCGCCGTCGTGGGCCTCGTGCGGGGCGAGAGGCGGCCAGAGGTGCCGGACATGCTGCAGATCCGGGGCTTCGAGGGCAACGTGCGGGGGCGCATCATGTCGGAGTCCCTCGCGCAGAAGGCTCGGGGGCTGCGGAACGTCCCTGGCGCAGGGAGGCCCCGGCACTCACAGCGGTCACAGCGGTCACAACGATCAATGCTCATCTCCTGCTGCATACCCAGTGAGAGCACGTGACGCGGGAGGAGAAAATGCTCGCCCAGGACTGTGCCGACCCTCGGTGTGAACTCGCTGGCTAAGCTTAAATCGGGCCTGTCCCTCTACAGGGGGGATGTTCAAAAATAGTCAAAAAATAGTATGGGGACGATTTTTTCTTATAACCATGTTTAGCCATTTTGGCGGTATGTTTGGGGTATGTTTAAAAAACTTGTTCGTCCAACATCCCCTTGTATGGGGACAGGCCCGACCCAAGCCTGGGACTTTGCCGACCCTCGGTGTGAGCTCCCGCTGGCTGAGCAGAGGCCCCGGCACTCTGGAGCCCTGGAGAGGCCCTCTGGGCCTCGTGAGGGTGCCGCAGGCCCCAGAGGCCTCCTCGGAGGTCCTGGGAGCACCGTTAGAGTGTCCAGGGGCGCTTTCGTCTGCATTCCGCCTCTGTCCGAATCCCATTGAAGGGGCCCTGGGACACACAAATAAATATATACACAAATAGCAAGATTCCCCATACATTCCCATATTTTCTGGGTTTTCGTCTTCCCCCCCACTTCCCATATTTTCCCATACTTTCATGGGGGTTGACGGTTCATTGTGTCTGTGTGTTTTTTCCCCTTCTGACTCATGTCGTCCGCATCACCTCATCCGCTTGATTTCGTCCGCTTCGATTCGGTTTCCGGGCTTCGAGAACGACACGAAACAGGACGAAACGACAGAGGGCGAAGGGAAACAGGTCGGAACGAAATCGGACGAAACGAAAGTCCACCATCTGGCAGCACCCGCAGAGGTGCACTACATGTCCGCGTGGCGCGACGTCTCCCGATTCTGGTACAACTGGGAGGTGCTGGCGCTCATGAACCGGCGCCTCCACAACCGACCCGGCGGCTGCAGGTATTCGAATAAGAAAAGACAACCATTACCGTTGGTGTCGCAACGATTGCGTGCGACACCGATCTCCGAACAGCAGGCCATCCCCCAGACTGGGAGTTTCGAGCGTAAGGTTCAAGGGCGAGCGTGTTTTGTCGGACACGTGTGGGGGATAGCGTGCAGATCGGGTTGGTGATGGCGTGTCACGTCGCTTCCCCTTGTGCACGCTGGCCCCAGTGTGGGGGATCGTGTGCAGACGGCGGGCCGGCGGCGCCCCATCGCACGCTACCCTTGCGACGCCAACCGTAAACTCTTGGAGCTCCGCGGGGGTCTCTTGCATCTGCGCTGGGCCTCCCCGGCGGCGCCTCCGGTGGCTCAGCACAGATCTGAGAAATCCGCGCGGAATTCCGAGATGTCATGCTCATGCCCGTGCTGCTGCCCCTCCAGGTACGAGGGGCTCCGCAAGAGCCTCGCCGACCTCCTGTGCTCCTACGCGCTGCACGAGAACAGCCTGGTGAGCGCGACGGCGGGGGACTGCCTGCAGAACTTCCTGCGGGTCCACTACGGCGCGAA